GATAACCTTTGAACACTCGGGCAAGAAGATCAGGCCTGTCGGTTGCACACTGACCCGGCAAGAGGGCTTGTTGGATCTCCGACCAGTTTGTGTTACACGTCATAATGATAAAAAGATCGGGTTTTCCAAACCGCCTCATAATTGCCATGCTGTCATGATATCTTTCGGTCATATACCGTGGTCCCCCAGTGAAGGTGGAGGGCAAAAGTGTTTTTGTCCCGACACCATCACCGTGCTGATTTTGTTGCACAGAGTCTCCTAGGTCCTGATAATATTATGACCGCAAGTCTTTCTGATGGAATCTTACCCATTTCAAGCGGAGGGATTCAACCTTGGCGTAAGCCATGCAACAAAACTCGTGGAAAAGACGTGCCGTATAAAAGAGGCAAGGCCTTTCACCATCGCGTTCGTGTAGGTGAAACACATAGTACTCCTTTGCACTGAGCCTTGGCGGCCATCCAGCTTCCGAGGCACGGCGGACAGACCAACTATCAATTCCTTCTGGGAAAAGCAAAACAAACCTCAAACAGTCGTGCGCTCGGGAACACTCCGGAACGACAACTGTTGCCCGCTCACCCGGAAGAGGAGCACGCAAACGAATCTCAAGCTCATGAGGAAGAAGGTCATCTGCCATGAGAACGCAGACCTCCTGTAGGCCCGTCGGACGGTTGTAACGCCTCCGATGTTCCTCCGCGGGCATGGCATCCAGATTTATGACCAACTTCCTTCCATTCAACGCTTCCGGTGAAAGGTCGGCGATGGTCATGAAGTCCTTCACGTAGTTGTTACACTGTTGTAGCAACTCGTGAAACCTTTTTAACATTCGTCTCATTCGGTGAAGTTCGGCATCAGACGTGTTTGCAGACAAATTAAGGAAATCCACTCTTTGATCAATCGCATCATCCAAACGGTGAGGATCATGCAAGTAAAGTTGTGCAAACCGAGGACGTTCCCTCTCCCCCACAGCCAATGCACCGACACGATGATAGATCGGACCCTGAGCCCGAAGTTGGCCTTGGAATCCCTGAACGCCATCGCTCGGTTGCTTCAACCGCGAGGATGCGAGAGATAAACTGTTATTGATTATCCTCGCATTATTTCGAACGAATCAGCCGTCGGGAGTCTGAGACGTCCAAATAGAAAGAATCTCATGCTCCGGGGACCCTTCTCAAGGCCATTCCCATAGAGGACAACGTCTCGTACCTTTTCTGCAACATATTTTTGTCCAAATTTTTTCATGATTCCACAACTTTGCACCACAATACCTGCACGGTTCTCGACCACCAATGTCGAACGCTTGAACCGTCTCCAAATCATCGATATCGTCTTTCCTCCTGTGATTCTTAATCGCGACGATGTTCCCGACTGTTCATTGAATTTTGAATCACAACAGACGGATTGTGCGACTGCTCCGCTCTCCCCGACATACTTCGATATTGCCTCGGTTGAGATCAATGACGATGCATTTCCTTCGAAGAAGAATATGTCCGCAACTGGTCGGAGGCGGTTGCTCAAATCTCTCGAAGGATATTTACAAGGGCCAAACTTTGCCTCACACCCCGCAAAAAACGTTTGTGAGTATCGATATCGTCTTTCCTCCTGTGATTCTTAATCGCGACTCTCAATGCACGCATACGTTTAATGTGATAGCTTGCCCGTGTTTGGAGCCTTTTCTTTCGAGTGGAAATTCCATACGATGTAGACCTCGGTTCATCGTCATTCATCGTATGGACTTGTTCTGTTCCACCGCCACCGGCTACTGTACTTTCAACAACTACCGCATGTGCATCGAAATCGGGGAAGACAGACCGACGTACAGACGACGACGATCCAAGGTTCAAACGACACGCGACTTTACCGGTACGCAGTGCCCGAAGGCACAACATACGATATCGTCTGTTGCGGCTCGAACGAATCGGTTTCAATATTGCCGATCTCCTTCGACGATTATGAAATCCAACAAACTTCCTAACCATTGCGTTCGGGGAATTTGGCAAGTTTCCGAGAGAAGAGCATGTCTGTGCATGAGCAGTTCCGATGGAAGGATAAAGATCAGGTTGCACGCATCTTCGCCGCACATCTTCTACGAATGTGGACGACGAACTCTTATCTACATGTGGCGAATGAAAGGAAGAATCATGAACTGGAAAGGTTGTTTCGATCGTACGAACAAAATTTGTACGGACTGCATCATGCGTAAAATTTTCATCAGGTCGTGCACTATGCAAGGTGATAGGCAGGTTTCCTTGGTGACGAATCTCACTCGTACCAACATCAACATTTTCTTGACTACTACGAACAAAAAATTGCGGGTTTGCGATACCATCCCACAATGGAATTGTTTGTTGGAAAGACAAAGATCTATCACTACATTGTTCTTCCACAGAACAATCAAGCCTACGATCAGGAGTTATCATCGGTTGTTTGCCCCTTCCGTCAGTAGTTACATCACTCACAGCACCTAGTGGTTGTAGTAAAGACCTTCGAGTCCGCCGACTTTGGGAAAGCGCTGACCACGTTTGAGGTGTTCATCTTTTGATGACACCCGTGTTTCATTCGTAAAGGGACAGCGAGTAATATCCGAACGTACACGCAATCCCAATCCATCATTCGACGAAAAAGAAGGATTTTGTACCGAAGGCAAACGAACTTGAGCGGAATCAATGGTAGGAGAGTTATCACAGTTCGGTATCGTTGGAAAAGACAACAAAGGAGCGATAACAGGTCTTTCACAACGGTGAAGACGTCTTCGACGCTTCCATGGAACGTGCAAGGATTTGTCGGCAGACAAAGCAGAGTTTGGAGCGGTAAATAAACCAATATCGCGTGAATCTTTATCTATGCTTTCATCCCCCGCCATTTGAAGAGGCGTACATGCATCTCTTCATCTGATGCTATAACGTTAAATTATAACGTTAAAATCACAGGATATGAGGAATATGGAAGATATAAAAATCAGTAGGATGATATATATCCTAGAATGTTTGTATACAGATGTAATTATGGTAGTAAGAAAAAATATATAGGGTAAAGCATTTTAAAAAACATAAAAAAATACTCAAAGGATAAATGAAGTTGGTTAAACACAAAACGAAAAACGAACAGAGGAAAACGTTGAGTGCACATTCTTTATTTATTTATTTATTTTTAAATGTTTATGTCAAGGAAAATGAAGGTGAATCAACTGATGACGAATTGTATTTTTTCTCTTTTATCCATGCATTGTATTTTATTTTTATGTGTTCGTAAAAAAAACGACAATTTCTTTTTCATATGTTTTTTTTTTCCTATATGCCCCTTAGTCTTTTCAAGGCCCCATGAGATTGAGTCATACGTACCTCATTTATCCACGTCTACCATTTGTCATTCCTCGACAGGGCTCACTTTCCTGTTCGTATTAGTTTGTGATTGGTAATGAAGTTTTTTTTTACTCCAATCGCATTCGATAGAGGCGGCTCCTACTTGCGGCCAGCCTTGGGTATTCTAAGTCAGCCACCATTCACAAAAAAGTCGAAGAAGGGTAAAAGTCCTCCCCAACCTGCCCGAGTCTCAACCGCTAGGATGTAGTCTGTAACACCCATCCTCCTCGCCCAGACACGAGGCCTAGATCTCAGAAGTAGGCGTTGGCTCCACCGCAACAACATTGCACCCCCCCCATAAATGGGTCTATGCGGCGTACCGCACCTCTCCCCAGCCAGCCTCGAAGGTCGTGATTCCAGGAAGAGTCATTCCTAGCGATTGAGGTCGGTCAAACTGTTGATGACCTCACCATTCCTCTCCTCTCTTGTTTGGGCAACTTAGACGAAATAAGAGCAAAGGAGGTAAAAAACAAGATTTTTTGGAACGTGAGAGGAGGTCATTCGGGATAGCATGGGTGCCTTGGGAGAAAGGTTACGTTTATTGTCATTTTTATTCTTTCTTATCGGATTGGTTCCTTCTCCAATATTCATTCCAAATACACCGTGTGACCCAAACCTCCCAATAACACTTGATTTCCTTCATGTAACTACCTAAGTATTTTCAGCGGCCGGTGTAGACCAATCATACGTACCTTGATTATTCTTCAGCATCCTTTGTTTTCCGTCAATACCGTTTACTCGAAGGCGGACAGTTGTTGTTTTTTAATGTTAGTATCGAAGACTCTTTCTTTCTAATTATTCATAAAATCCATATTATAATATCATAGAACATTTAAGCCTACATTTTTTTTTTCCAAACATCGTACTCATCTCAACTGATTTTCAACGTTATCTCATGTCTATATTTTAAGGAATACTCACCTGGTTATTTTTTAAGAATAAGCAGAACAGTATATGAACGAACACACAAAACCGTACAATATTGACAAACAGAATTTAACAAATGTTAGCATCTAAGGATTAATATCATCTCCATTGCCATGAACACATATAAGATGAGATCACATAGCAATAAATGGCTAAGGTGACTTTTATTTGTATATATCAACAATATTTTATTCCCATTCCATGAACAATTCTCAAGAAAAGAAATACAAAAAAGAAAAGAAAAAAAAAAAATAGAGAAACGGTTTGAATAAGAGAGAGAGAGAAACAGAGAGACAACTTAAATAAGATAGAGAGAGCGAGAAAGGCAAAGAGAAACAGACACAGGGACGACTTAAATAAGATAGAAAGAACCAACTTAAATGTGTATGTGTGTGTGTGTGTGTGTGTGAGAGACATGATTTAAATAAAGAAAAAAATGACAAAATCGAATAGTCCAATGTTGAATGTGGAAAAAAAAAAAAAAAACTTTCAAATCCCAATACAAAGATAGAAAGAGAGAAAAAAAAAAAAAAATAGAGCCAGAGAGGTAAAAAAAAAATTAGAGAATCCGATTTAGAGGAAGAGTAAGCGAGAAAGAGAGCAAAGCCAAATTTAATTGTTTTATTGCAAAATCCTTCAAATATCATTATCCATACTACTTAAATTGGAACATTTCTATAACTATCATACTCCACGTCACTATTACTCATCATACTTTAACCGCTCATTTTACTTTCTTCAATCTGACATAATCCACTTCTAATTTTATTGCTTGAATACGATTCACTTCAAAGTGAATCATAAAACCAAATTGCACTACTCATCTAGATCGTCACCTCCACGAAGTTGCCTCCTCCTTTCTTCCATTGCGAACTGCTCCTGCTCATCAACAATGGCATCTCCATCAGGATAAAGGTTTGTCGTGTTGTCACACTTACGTCTAACAACTGCCAAATCGTTAAACATCTTATGATCCCCCCTTCTCAAATGGCTTAATAAGCGGCCACACTTAGGACATGAACACCTCAGTGCTTCAATCAGCGCAAGCAGCACCTCATGCAATCTCGTCTCATGTTCCTTATTTATGCTCGTCAGAGCATTCAATTCCCTTTTCTTATGCTCGATCTCCTTCATAAATTGCATTGGCGAATGGGCATCACCCGCCAATAAAATTCTCAAAGTGCACAATTGTTCTCTGTAATGTCTCACCGTGCCATTCGTGAATCCCTCATCACATCGATCAGGAAAAGTATCCTTGAACAATAAATCCATCAACTCTTCCCGTGTCTGCTTGTACACATGTCCAAGCATGATCACTGTTCCCCTCAACTGCTTGTTACTTACCGGAAACTTTATCGCATTTTGCACCTCTAAGAGCACATTCCTGTGTGCCAGCTCCGAACCAATATTTTGCAATAACTTTAACATAGCAATCAAACGCATTTTTGGAAGGTCTTCCAAAGTTGCAATTGATGGAATGTCAAAGAGGTCCGAGGCAAAAAAAGCATCAACCGATGACAAAACACCTCTCAACAATATTTTTCTCACCCCACTCTCCGCTTCTTGTAATCGCCGACGCAAATCCTCACACTCCGGCAATAGGTGCGGGTGAACTCTAGTACTAAGCTCACAAACTTCATCTAACAAATCGTTTGTAATGAACGATTGAATTAAACGCTTAAACTCTGTGTCCATCTCCTCAGCAGGATCCACCTCCTTCTTCACAACCCCAACATCGGTCACAGAGGAATCTTTTATCTCTTGACTTCGTTTCGCTTCAATGAAACTTTCAACCACTCCCCGTGCATTCAACTCAACTTTCATAAATGCATTCCTCAATGCATTCACTTCCTCCTCCTTCTTCTTCAACATTTGTAGCAGCTCATCCTGAGTCCATCGAAGTCCTTCATTGTCTGTGAGGTAGCGGCCACATACCCTCTTTAACGCAAAATCACTGGGAACCTTACCTTCAACATCATACCGGAGTTTAGGCTGAGATTCATGCAAACGTTGTTCTCTCTCATAAATCTTGTTCGCTGCGCTGTACTCGTACCATTCGTCACAGTTCTCAAAGTACTTATCTTGCAGGTGAAATTTAATGAGCGGATGATCATATGCCTCGGATACATCAATATACGCGGCCTTATCCCGATTAGACCGCGATGATCCCTCCACCCCCCTTTCCGTACGTCCGTCCACCACCACGTTGGTGTCATCGGACACTTGTCTGTCTGCAGAGACCACCATAAAAAAAACAATGAATATATGAATAATAACAAAGCCAAACGATAATCTAACCTGTATTACAGGGTAATAAGATAGAGAGTCGACTTAAATAAGATAGAAAGAGCGAGAAAGAGAAAGAGAGATAGAGACAGGGACAACTTAAATAAGAGAGAAAGACACGACTTAAATGTGTATTTGTGTGTGTGTGTGTGTGTGTGTGTGTGTGTCTGTGTGTATCTGTGTGTGTGTGAGAGAGATAGACAGAGACAGAGAGTGTGTGTGTGTGTGTGTGTGTGTG